CAGCCAGGGGCGCGCTTAGATCCGCCCCATCGCTGCATCATGCCCGAGTCTCCCGTCGCACATGCTTGTGCAAGTCCCCGTCCACCTCCCCGCCTGCCGTCTGGCACGCGCGACGGACGCACTCCTCCAGCACGGAAGCCTTGCCGTCGCAGTCCATGTCCCGCGGGAACTCCCGCGCCCCGATCACCCGATCCACGATCCAGGGCCCTCTGGGGCCCAGCTGTTCCAGCCAGCCTGCCTTGAGACCGTAGCTCGGGGGGAAGTCCAAAGCCTTCGGGATCGACCACAGCGCGGTGCCAATTTCGACCTGGTACGCGCGGTCGAGGCCGTCCGCAGCCAAGCGAAAAACAGCACCATGTCTGAGGATCCTCTGCGCGATGATCCTCTCGTGCTGAGCCATGGTGGTCACCGGCCTTCGGCGCTGCCGGCTAGACTCCAAAACTTGGCGGTCGGCCCCAACGAACGCATCCCGCCACGCGTCGAAACTACTGAAGGAACTGGTTGTCTCCAACATTGCACGGGTGGCGACCGCTGCGCGGCAACCAGGGCGCTGGTCGGCGTTGCGGACGACGGCGGGCGCAGGCGCCACGGCTGTTGCAGCTGCTGCAGCTGATGCAGCCGTTGTGGAGAACAGAGACACGGGGAGACCCTGGTGCGCACCTTCCGCTCGAATCCGCTCTTTCCACGCCGCTTCTGCTGCCTGGCGCTCCTCGCGCTGCGCATGGCGCACGAGGTTTTCCTTGCGTTGGACACTCGCGGATCCCTGGCCTACGGTGGAAATGCAGCGAGCGCCCTTGGACGCCGAGCAGAACAAGCAGACTGCAAATCTACCACCGACGCAGCCTATCCAAGTTTCACTCTTCAGTGTTACTGGATTCGTCGCAGACATCGAGGCGCTCCAGTTCCCCTTGTTCTTCCAAAATTTGCAAGCGCCGCAGGTGGAGACGTGCTTTGGGTAGTCGTGGCTGGCGACGTGCCCCTCCAGGGCCATGGACAACGAAGGCGGGAACTCCTCGACTACTTTGCTCGGGGCGGCCTTCGCCTTCGCTCTTGCAGCCGCGGCTGCCTCGCTGCTGGAGCCGCTGTCCTCTTCGGAGCCGCCGTCGGAGCCGCTGTCGGAGCCGCTGTCCTCTTCGGAGCCCGCTGCGGCAGCGGCCGCGGCAGCTGTTGCAGCTGCCGCGGCCGATTCTGCGTCCGAGCTGTTGCAGCTGCCACGGCTTGGCGAAGCTGCCCTCGACGCGGCCGCAGGGCTCGGGCTCGGGCTCGGCGAAGCTGCTGCCCTCGAAGAAGAAGCAGGGCTCGGCGAAGCTGCCCTTGAGGAAGAAGAAGCAGGGCTCGGCGAAGCAACTGCCCTCGAAGAAGAAGCATGGCTCGGCGAAGCTGCCCTCGAAAAAAGAAGGGGACGACGAGGCTGGAGGGCTCGGGGAAACCGCCCCAGCGGACGACGACATTATTATTTTGAGCCAAGTCCTACGGGCCACAATTGTGACGATGGTGATGGTGATGGCGATGCTGATGTTATGGATGGTGATGATGATGATGATGATGGGGATGGTGATGATGGTATGGTGAGGGCGGTTGTGATGGTGATGATGGTGATGGTGATGATGGTGATTCTGGATGTGATGAGCACCACTATCATCACCATCACCATCGCCACCACCATCAGCACTACGATATGATAACCACCATCATTACAATCGTCATCGGCATAAAAAAACCATCAAAAACCGAACAAAAACCCTCAACCGACTCACCCTAAATTCGCCCTGAATCACGCCAGTAGTAAACGTCTGTTCATGAGCGCTTGACTGTAATAGCGCATCCACGTGAGCGACAGGGCCGACGAAGACGAGTGAATCCTAATGCCAATGAATGAATATGAGTCACCCGTATGGCGGCTCCATTTAGGGGTGCTGAAACCAGCGCCACGCCTGAGACATCCTCACAATCTGCTCTCCAAGCAAAGGATGTTGAACACCGAAACAAGCAAACCGCCTGAGACATCCCCACAAACTGGCCGCGAACGGGCCCGTGCAAACACCCCTCCTCACAATATGCTCTGAAAGCAAAGGATGTTGAGCATGAAAAAAGCAAACCGCCTCAGACATCCCCGCAAACTGGCCGCGACCGGGCACGTGCAAACACCCCTGACGGCCCCCCTGAGGGGTGCTGAAACCAGCGCCGCGCCTGAGACATCCCCAACATCTGATCTGGAAGCCAAGGATGTTGTGCATGAAAACGAGCAAACCGCCGGAGACATCCCCACAAACTGGCCACGAACGTGCCCGTGAAAACACCCCTGGCGGCTCCCCGTAGGGGTGCTGAAACCAGCGCCCCGCCTGGGGCATCCTCACAATCTGCTCTGGAAGCCAAGGATGTTGGGCCTGAAAACAGACAAACCGCCTCAGACATCCCCACAATCTGGCCGCGAACGGGCCCGTGCAAACACCCCTGACGGCTCCCAGTAGGGGTGCTGAAACCAGCGCCCCTCCTGAGGCATCCTCTCAATCTGCTCTGAAAGCCAAGGATGCTGGGCATGAAAACGAGCATAACGCTTGAGACATCCCACAAACTGGCCGCGAACGGGCCCGTGCAAACACCCCTGACGGCTCCCAGTAGGGGTGCTGAAACCAGCGGCCCGCCTGGGACATCCTCACAATCTGCTCTGAAAACAGAAGATGTTGAGCACCGAAACAAGCAAACTGCCTGAGACATCCCCACAATCTGGCCGCGAACGGGCCCGTGCAAACACCCCTGGCGGCTCCCCGTAGGGGTGCTGAAACCAGCGCCCCGCCTGAGACATCCTTACAAGTTGCTCTGAAAGCAGAAGATGTTGAGCACCGAAACAAGCAAACCGCATGAGACATCCCAGCAACATGGCCGCGAACGGGCCCGTGAAAACACCCCTGGCGGCTCCCCTTAGGAGTGCTGAAACCAGCGCCCCGCCTGAGACATCCTCACAATCTGCTCTGAAAGCAGAAGATGTTGAGCACCGAAACAAGCAAACCGCATGAGACATCCCAGCAACATGGCCGCGAACGGGCCCGTGCAAACTCCCCTGGGCGGCTCCCCTTAGGGGTGCTGAAACCAACGCCCCGCCTGAGACATCTTCACAATATCCTCTCTAAGCGAAGGATGCTGAGCACCGAAACAAGCAAACCGCCTGAGACATCCCCACAACATGGCCGCGAACGGGCCCGTGCAAACACACCTGACGGCTCCCCTGAGGGGTGCTGAAACCAGCGCCCCGCCTGAGACATCCTCACAATATGATGTGTGTTGAGTAAGTCAGACCATGAGAAGGTCTCAGTATGAGTGGGTCTGAGTATGAGTAAGTATGTGTATGAGTACGTATGGGTATGAGTAAGTCTGAGTATGAATAAGTCTGTGTATGAGTAAGTCTGTGTATGTGTACGTCTGGGTATGAGTATGAGCATGAGTAAGTTTGTGTATGAGTAAGTATGTGTTTGTATACTTCTGGGTATGAATAAGTATGGGTATGAAAATATCTTAGTATGAGTACGTCTGTGTGTGAGTAAGTCTGGGCATGAGTAAGTCTGAATGTGAGTGAATCCGAGTAGGAGGAGACGAGAAGAGGAGGGGACGAGAAGAGGAAGGAGAAGGAGGAGTAGGAGGCGTCCAAGTAATAATAAGAACCCCATCTTAGAATATGGGGAATTATAGCCCCGAACGCTGGATCTTATGGCCATCACATTCGAAGAGGGTCCCAATCCCCACAGCCCCGTCGGCAGCAGCAGCAGCAGCAGCAGCAGCCCCCGCAACCCCCCCGTCCCCTTGGGCACGCCACCCGAGCTGCTCAACAGCTAGGGCGAGAGCCTGAAGCATGGGCGACGGGTCACACTTGGCCCCTGGCTGAAAAAGCATCTGAACTTCACACTGGCAGGGGACCGAGCCACGGCCAACCAGCGCCTACATTGCAACGCGGACGAACCAGGAGCCAGGAGGACGGGGTCATGAGCGATGAGGATGAGCTCAACGTGCCTCTCTGGCACTGGCTTGGGCGGATGAGGATCCGAATCCTGAGCCTCAGGACGTGGTGGGGAGGAGGAAGCAAGATCGAGGATCGAAGACGTTGGAGGGAGGAGGGGCATGAGGCAGGGCCCGTGCTCCTCCTCCTCCTCCCCCTCCTCCTCCTCCTTGGGCCCACCGCGCTTCCCCCCGCCTCTCCCTCCCGCCATGGTTGGCTCGCCAGCGGTGCCCACGACCGCTGCTGGCAGGGAAGGGGGGGAGGAGACAGGATCAATGATCGCGGCTTTTGTGAGGGAGGTGGAGGAGGTGCAGGAGGGGGTGTCATCCAGGGTCGAAGGCCCACGACCGCTGCAGGCGGGGAGCAGGAGGAACGATCCAGGAAAGACATTCTCGAACGTTGGTGCTTTGTTCGGCCTCTCGAAAAGGCAATGCACGGCAAGGCGGGACGGGCGCACGGCGGATGCTGACGTCTCTGGCATATCGATGCCCTCTCCGAGAAACAGGCTCGTATCCAGCGCAACCTGTTTTGTTGGATAAAGAAGAGAAGGAGAAGGATGAGGAAAAGAGCTGACGGGAACCCTCGCAATATCATACATAGTTCTTCGTTGCGCGTGTAACCCTCGAAATCTTCTAAATGCTCCGAAAACATCGGTCCGCGACTCGCGAATCTCGATCCTGTTCCTCTCCTTTGCCATGCTCCCCAACGCCCAGTGAGCGGGCGGGCACCAAGGAATCGCCAACCCATGAATCAGCAGGGCGCAAAACAAAAACGAGAAACGGCCTCCTGTTCCTCCCCCCAAGCCCCTCCTCCGAAACAACTATGAACCCCCTCTCCTTTCTCCTGCTCGTCCCCTCACGGGCGACCCCTTGGACCTCTCCCAGAAGGGCCTTCTGATCTGAAGTTCGAAGGGAACGCCATGGATTCTCGAACCTCGATCATCAAACGCCCTCTTCCTCCCCCTGCTCCCCGGCGGCCAGGGGCGGGCGGGCGGGCAGACGGGCGCCGCCGTTCCAAGACGCCGCCGCCACGGCGCCAGCCGCCGTTGCGCCAACCGCCTGGCGCGGGGGGCGAGGCGCCAAGCGCCCCCCCCCCCCCAAGGACCTTTCGCCAAGCCGCCCCCTCGCCTCCTCTGCCTTCTGCTCCCCCGTCTCGCTCCTCGCTCCTCCTCCCTCCTCCTTCACTTCCTCCCCTCCCTCCTCTCCAGCAGCTTTTGCTCGAGCATTTTCCGCGAGCAGCTCGTCTGTGCCTCCGCGGGGTGCTTGGGGGACCACGCCCAGAAGAGTTCAGTCCAGAAGGGTTTTCGCTGGCGTTCACGAAACAAGGAGCGTTGAAACATCATGACTGTCACCAGCCGTGCGTATTATCCGTGCAAGGCGTGCAACAAGTTTGAATTGAACGGCCGCTAGCTCATGAACAAGTCCTGCTGCTGCCACTGCAACCGCAAGGTCAAGCTATGTGCCGAAATCGCAGAAGGGCGGCAAAAGGGGGCCAGTCCGAGCAGACGGGCGGGAAGGACACCCAAGAGATTGGATTCGATCGGTTGCTGCAGCAGGTGGTGGCGAAGACGGAGTCGACCGCGCTCAAGGCAGCGGTCTCGGCGGAACTGGCCAAGCTCCAGGCGCCAAGCCACGAAACCATCGCCCGAGGCACCGAGGCAGAGGCGGTCATGCGCGCCACGGGCGCGCGGTGTGATGCAGATCACAAACATCCGCAAGCAGTCGCAGTAGTGGTGAGATTGCAAGACGATCTGACCATTGCCATGGGAAAGGAGGTTCAGGCTGCGCAGGTTCTGGCGCAGGCTGAGAAGGCGAAGAGGGCGGCCACCGAGGCGCTGGCGCGCGCGCGGAGGGCATTGCGGCACCTCCGTCACGGCCGACGCCAGTCAGGGAGGCGCCAACCAGCCGAAGATCAAGGTCACGTGGAACGAGGCGCTGTTCCAGGGGCCCGGCGATATGGAGCGCGAGGAGACGGAGCGCCAGGAGCTGCGACTCGCGCGCGCCCAGCAGCAGGAGCTACAGAACACGCTGAGCGCCAAGGAAGCGGACACCCAGGTGACGTTGGAGAAGGCTGCCGCGGCGCGCCTCGCGAAGGAGAGGAAGACGGCGGAGGGCCAGGCGGCCTCAGGGGGGGCGCGGCGACGGCGCTGCAAGTAGCGGCACCGTGCCTGGAGCCGCGCAGTCGGCTGAGGCGGGAGCTGCTGCCGCCGCCGCGTCCGCCGCCAAGGCTGAGGCAGAGCAGCGCGTGCAATAGCAGATCGAGCGGGAGGCGGCCAAACTGTCGCCGGCCAAGTTTGCGGCTCAACGCGCGGCGCTGGAGGGGCAGAAGGCAGCCCTCGGCAAGCCGATGGGCAAGGGCAGTGGCAGAGGCAACCGCGACGGCAAGGGCGGCGTAGTCTCAGGTGACCGTGGAGCTGGCGGGCCTGCCGCGAGCGGGGCCGACGAGCTGTGGCTGGGCCCTGCAGGGCACGCGGTGGACCCGCAGCATGGGTAGCCTCGGGCGGGCAAGACATCCAGCTCATTCCCCCTCTCGAATGTGATGGTGCTGTCCACCAAGTGTTGGGGCTACTTGCGATAGTCCAACTACGATTTCATTGGGGCGTGCGAGTCTCACGTTGTCGAGTCGCAGTTCAAATCGCGAAGTGGGAATGCCTGCGGGGCTGGCTACAATTTACTTGTCAACCGTACGAGGGCGAAGAAGAAACATGTCAGTGCTGCCATGATCCAACGGCCCTGCGAAGGAGGTGGGTGGTTCTTGGCTCGGCAGCACTAGCAAAAGCATAGCGCGTTCGCCAAGTTCACTGCTATGAAAGCCGAGGGCCCCAGGACATGCGGCGCTCGATGGCTTCCAGGCAGTCATCGCCCGCGTGCGCGGGTGCAGCGTGATCGTCGTCGCGTTCTATGGCCCTCCCAAGTTTGCAGTTTGCAGGGGGCAGCCTGGTTCGCTATCAGAAGTTGGGCGCCGTGCTCTCAGCTCATGTCAGCTGGGTCGCCATCGGTGAATGGGACGTCAAGCCAGACATCGCGCGCCGTTTCCGTGTCTTTGGTCGTCTGCTCGGCGAGCCGTGCATGCTGGAGGCGGGGGAACTGGCCGTCGCCTGCGAGTCTGACGAAGCAAGATCATCGATTGCGCCATCTGCTCCCGGTCGGCCAAGGGGTGCGCCCAGTCCGTCACGGGCGTGCCGTCGGTGCAATGGAAGCCCCACGTGGGGCTGCTGGTGTCGCTGCGTGTCCCGGGCGAGCAGCTGATCGCGCGCCCCCAGTGGGTGCCGAGGCCGCTGCCCCAGGTCGGGCGGCGTCGAGCCGCTCCGCAGCCGAGCTCGAGGCCACGTCGTGCTCGCGAGGGCCAGGCAGAACAAACGCTTCCAGATGGGGGAAAGTCGGGGGCATTGCTTCGGATATTAATTCGGCGAAGTGTTGAAGGACCTAGGAAACAATGATGAGGGCGGCTGCAGTGCCGGGAGCTCCCGAGATCTCGGCGAGGACCCAGGTCAGGACCCATGGAGTTTCTTGGAGACCGAGCCTGGTCAGGCCCCGTTCGAGGAGGAGGAGGGGCGCCCCTGTGCCCACGAGACGGAGTTCGCTAACATTGGCGGTCGCCCCCTCTGCACCCTCTGAGCACGGCGCGCCTGTGCCGTCTGAGCCACATTATCGTTGTTCGGGAAAGGCTGCGCGCGCGGCCAAGTCTGAGAATTCTGGTAATTCGGGGGAGGTCGACCCTGCGACGAGCCGAGAACGGAGCTCCTGCGTCCTCTCGGGCGCGACCTTTGCCTCTGACCAGGGTTCGGCCTTCCGATGCCCGATGATCTCACCGCCCAGCCCCCGCCCCCCGCTTCGGCAACCTAAGTCGGGCCCCGAAGCGACTGCAGCGGCCGTCAACGGTTGAGTTTCGCGTGTCTGATGTAGTTTGGACCCGGAACAGAGCCGAGGTTGGGCGCGCGCCTGCTACCCAATGTTCCCCCCCCGCCCCTCGGCCCTCGCCTCCGTAGCCGTTCGGCCCAAGAACCAGGGCCCAGCTCACGCCGCCAGTTCCCCGCGTGCTTCTCGGGCGCGGCCTGTAGAAACCTCACTGCATGAGCACAGCGATTGCTGGGACTTATCCGAAGTCAGTCGCAGCGCTGGGCCCGCCTTTCAGAGGGGGCGCCGCGCGCCGCGCGCCGCGCGCCGTCGCGCCGCTGCCCCGCGCGACACAGTTGCAGGTTGGGCGGGCAGAGAGAGAGAGAGAGAGAGAGAGAGAGAGAGGGAGAGAGAGAGAGAGAGAGAGAGAGAGAGAGAGAGAGAGAGAAAAAAAAATAACTAGAGAAAGAGAAAGAGAGAGAGAGAGAGAAAACATAAAAAAAAAGAAAGGCAAATCCGATCACGTCAATTCGTGAGTTAGCCTCAGGAGTGCCCGGGGCAGGCGCGCGCGGGGCTACGTGTTCGGGCGCAGCGACGCGACGACCCTTCGCGGCGGCGATGGCGGAATTTCTTCACGGGGATCCGCGTGGCAGAGAAGGGCGAGATCGAGGTGCTTGCTGACGGCGCAGGGGGGTGGCCGACAGGTGCCAGCGGCGTGCGCTTGCAGCGTCTCTCCGCGAATCCAGCGACTGGGTGGAGACAGCCCCTGCCCTGGGAAACTCGGAAACTCCACGAGAGCATCAACGACGATCCGCTCGCGCTGCTGGGCGAAACTCCACAATCAGCATGGCGCCGCGCTCGTTGACCCCAAGGGCGCGATCGATCGCAAGGCGGACAGGCGGCGCAAGTTGCGGCGCGCCACCCGCGACGGCATCGACGAAGCACGAGAATGCGTTCGGCGGGCCAAAGAGCGAGCTCAGCTTGGGATCCCCCCCGACGTCGCAGGCGAGATGGCCAGGCCAGCTGCCCGTCGCACGCGTCCTCGTTCTGGGATGGGGGCCGATCGAACGTCGCCTCTGGACTTCGAGAGGATACCACCAGCTGCCTTAGATAGGTTTGCTGGATTGCACATGCTACGCGAGGGCAAGCTGCGTGGCCCCGCCGCTTTCGGATGACCCTGGGCTAACTGCCCCCGAAGAAAGGGGGTTGCGATCGCATCGTCGGCTTGCTGGCGATGATCGCCAAGATCCGGTCGCCCATCCGAGAACCCGTCGCGGGCGACTGGGGCGAAGCGACGGCAGCCCACTCGGGCGCGGCGGCGCGGGGCAACGCGGCTCTGAGAGCCGGTCTTGCGCGCCCCATCGGGCCATGGGCGATTGGGCACCGACGCTTCTTGCGATCGCGCTCGTCGACACGTGTTTTTTGTTTGATCTTGGGATTCCCAGCTGCAGCGTTGTGCTGCGAGGCGCCCCAGTGCACGTCAGTGCGAGCGTTGGGCCAGCGAGGCGCGTGGACGGTGCATCTCACGTCAACTCAATATATTGTGCAAGGCCTTCGTTCTGGCATGCGTTTCGCGCGCGCTGTTGCGCGATTCGCGCAGCGGCGCATATGCGCGGCCGGCCCATCCATGGGCGGGCCACCGGATCTGGGCGGGCGATCTTTCGCAGCGTGTGGTTGGATCCACAAAGCTTCAGCGGTGAGTGATATCATTCGGCGTTTGCGGGGCGCGCGCCGGGGTCTTGGGCGCAGTCAAAATGTCGAGGGCATCGAGGCGATCGGGTTTCACTGTCAAGGCGCAGAGAACAGCGGCATACCTGGGCACCGACCTCGGTCGCGAGAACGCGCGCGAGGTCTCCCCGGAGGACGCGTTTCCAGAAGTGCAGCAGGATGCGCGACGAGATGCGGGGGCGCAAGGCGACTGGGCGGCGGCACCGCGACACTTCCCGAAAAGAGAGGCTTGGGGCGCAGGTGGCTGGTTCCTACGATAGCCAGATCCACGGGGTCTTCGGCGCGTACCGCACTACCTATCGGCGCGGGTTAGGAGCTGCAGTTGGGTTGACAGCCAGGGGCAGGTGCCTCGCGGCGCTCGTCGGCTTGAAGACGCGTGCAGGTCCTGCGCTGCGCATGCCCGAGGAGCGCGCGCGGCTGTGGTTCCACGCGTGGCAGCAGCAGCAGCCGTTGCTGAAAGCGGGCGAGCATGCGGCGTGGGACAAGGTGGTCGCTCACCTACGGCAGGTCGAGCCGGGCCATCGCTCGCGCCGCATTCGCGGGCCGCCGTCAGCGATAGTTGCGCTCCTGCTAGAATGGCTGGGGCCCGCAGTCCGACATCTGCGGGGCCGTCCAGTGGCAGTTTCCTGACGCGGCGTGGACGGGCTTCGTGGACGTCGACGCGCCGACAGGCATAGTGAAGGACTTAAATTCTATGTTGGCGAAATTGTGGCGGAAGGCCAGGATCCGCAACTGCGGCGTGGGGGCCGAGCATGGCGTCGACGAAAAATCGCTGTGCACAAGCTACCAGCAGTTCGCCAGCATGCCGCAAGGTAACCGCATGGCGGAGATGCTCAGCCTGGTGGTCACGGGTGGCAGCTGGCCGAGGGCTCGGCGAGTTGACGCAGATGGGGCCATGGCTTTGGGCTTGTCGCGCCTTTGTCAGAGGTGCGGGGGGGTGCAGGGACCGCGTTCCATCGGGGCTGGAGGTGCTCCCAGAACGTGGGGTCGCCAACGCGCGAGTGCTCGCGGGGCCTGCTGCCGCGGGCCTACGGCAGGCACGACAGCGAGCAGTGCCACTGGCTGCGAGGACTGCTGCAGGCCATGTGGGCTTAAGTGAGTCCGCCGCAGGAGCACGAGGAGTGGCATGTGTCGGGAGTAGCGGCGGACAGTCTCGAGGGTCTCTCTTCGGGAACGGTGCCGAACAGTGGCCGCTGCGGTTTTTCGCCGATGCCATAGGCGGCGCCGGCTCGTCCGACAACAAATTCAGACGCGTCGGCCTTGCGGTCATCAGCGCGAGTAGCTTCGACCCCCTGGCTCTTGACGGGTCGGTGTCGGGGGGCTTTCCTAGGGCGCAGCAAGGCGTCCCCAGGGGAGAGCTGTTCGCGCTCCTCGTCGCCACTAGGATGTCCAGCGGGCGCGTGTACTTTGTTACAGACAATCGCGGTGTTGCCGATGGTTGGTATGCGTGCGCGGGAATATGCCTCACCCAGTGGGGGGGAAATGCCGACTTGTGGCACAACATCGGGATTGCTTTGGCAGGGCGCAGTCAGGCTGAATGTGTTGCGTTGTTTGTGAACTCGCTTCTTTCCCCGCAGCAGATGATTCGAGGAATTGCGCCGTGGCAGTTGGTGGTCGGCAACACGGCATTCGACGAGCTGGCAGCAAATGCGGCACGCCGAGTCAAGCTTGCTGAGTCCGGGAGGCATCGTGTGATATTGCTCAGAACTACACTTGATGCGCTGGATGCAGAGAGCGAACTGGTGCAAAAAGGGCCGCTGAGGAAAAAAGAGGGGGCGCGTGAACCACCGCCGGTTCCAACCCCATCGGTTTGCCGGCAGCTTGCGACCAGTCACGTTCTCGATGATTCTGGCAAGCGCTGTAAGATTTGCTGTAGTTCCTCCTCGCAGGCCTCCAAAGCCCAATATATGCTAACATGGTAGATTCTCTGATTTGCCGTCGGGGGTTTAATTACATGTGGGGGGGCATCCCTAAAACTTCGGTTTTGCTCACAGTGTATTATGCCAGTAGTGCTATCAGGTGCCTGGACCAAGAATGTCTCAGGCGAACGAATGCGAATCGAACAGCGCCGGAAACTTTAAGCAATGCCGACAAGCTCGCTCGTAAGCGCTCGTAATGATCTCACTCACTCTCTCACTCCTCCTTCTCCTCCTCCTCTTCCTTCTCATCCTCCCAGGCCATGCGTCACCCTGAGCATCCATACGCATCTCGCAGGTGCAATAAAAATGCCATCAACTGGCTTGACACTGTCCCCAACCGCCTTTTCCATTTACCTCCACCTCTTCCTCATCCGTCCCCTCCTTCTCCCTCCTCTTTCGTTCGCGCCCCCCGACGACGAAGACGTCGACGACGGCGACCGCAAAAAAGACGCTGGCGGCGGCGAACGACAACCATGACCACGACCACGCCGACGACGACCACGACGACGACGACGACGACGACGAGGGGCTCAATGAACCGACTTATCGCCGAACGCGACCACGACCACGACGACCGCGACAACGGCGACGACGACGACCACTACCACGACCACGACCCCGACGACGAAGACAACGGACGACGACGACGACGACAGCGACGACGACGACCACGACGACGATGGCGATCACGACCACGACCACGCCGACGACGACCACGACGAGGACGATCACGACGACGACGACGACGACGACGACCACGACGACGACGACGGACGACGGGCGACGGACGACGGGCGACGGATGACGGACGACGGACGATCGCGATGGCGACGGCGACGACGGCGGCGACGGCGACGACGACGGACGGCGACGGAGACGGCGACGGCGGGCGACGGCGACGGCGAAGGTGACGGCGACGGACGGACGGCGACGATGACTGCGACGGCAACGGCAACGGCGACGGCGACGGCGACGACGACGGATCTGGGCGTCGCCAAGCAAATCACGACGGATCTGGGCGTCGCCAACGCAAGCGCCACTGGCATCTGATCGATCTCCCAAAGAAAATTCTGGCGGGAAACGTGCTGATCGTTCCGCGGGTGCTCCCCCTAGCGCTCCTCGTGCACCTGGGTGACACCCCCCCAGACATCCGACGATGGCTTTTTCCAACCCGCGGGTTCCAGAAACCTCGACCCCTTCCCCAGGGGCAGATTCCATCCCGAGTCGATTTCTGGTAGCCCCAAGGCCCTGGCACGGAACTGGAGGCCGAAGCATCGTGGAGAAACGCCGCGCTTGAAGCACCGAGACCGCCAGAAGTCTGGCCGTGCATCTGCGCGCAGCTGAGGCCAGAGACCGGGCACACGCTACAGTATGGGCTCGACCACCAAAAACCATCCACAAGACACCCAACCCTGAGGCCCCAGGACGTCCATTGATTTTTGGTGTGGGAGCGTCACGCTGTCCATAGCAAAACCATCGAAACCCAAGAAACCCAGGACACCCTGGAGGCAAGCAAAGTGTTTCTTGGCATAGGCTTCCACTGCAACATGGATCAATGATCCGTGGATGCGTGGGCGCCAGATCCACGGATCGGGGACGGTACCCCCGAAACAGAAAGCCAATGCTACCTGATTTGGCGACGGAGCGCGCCGCTTCGGTACCGAAACGGGACCCGTCGCTTGTCCACGCGCCCGAATCCACGCTTAAGCTTCCTTGAAGACTAGTCTGGAAGCGACAGCATGTCTGCAACGGGATGGCGGCACTGTGTGGCACTCCTTGCCACCCCCCCAAGAAAACATGTGTGCCTTCCGCTTCGCTCCCACGCCGAGGGCCCCCCCCCCATGGCCAGGAAGCGCTCCGACCGCACTCCTCTGTAGCCCGGGCGCTGCCTGCGCCGCGCCGCCGCCGGGGGTCCGCAGCCTGCGGCAGGGATCGGAGGGCGGGGGGAGTAGGAGGGCGTGAAGCAAGGCGGAGTGTCGAGGACGAAAGGCGGGTGGTGGTGGGAGGGGGGCGAAGGACGGAAAGGCGGGGTGGAATGGGGGGAATGGAGGACGGGAAGTGGAGGACGGAGTGGGTGGGGTGGACAGGGTGGACCCAGGGAGGGTGGAGAATGGAAAATAGGGGGGTGGGCGGGCTGGAGGTCGGAAGGTGGCGGGGTCTGTTCGCATACGTCCGCGGCGACACCAAGACCGAAGACCGATCGAGGCGACACCGAAACCGAAGCCGATGGACCGAACGCAGCCTGGAAGAACGCCGTGGCGGAGCAGCCGAGCGAGCCGAACCGACCGAATGCAGCCGACGGCGAAGCAACCGAACCGACCGACGAACCGCAGACACCGTTGCTACTGCGGGGGACAATCTCTTCCAGGTCCCTCAGGGGGCACCACTGCTACTGCGGGGCGTTTGAAGTCAAGGGGGCCGCGGGGGGGGGGGGGGGGGGGGCAAGTCCAGCTCACAAACCAGTGCTGAGGGGATCCCTGTGGGCCCGCAGCCAAAGTTCACTCCAGCGAATGGTCGTGGCTCGCGGGGACGATCCGCATGTCAGCATGCTTGCCAAAAGCGTCGCAGCCGCCACCGAGGGTGGCGCAGGCGACATGGCTGGCAGCGGAACAACAACCGCAGGACCAACGATCTTGTCGCTTCCAGCGGCGCCGGGAGCGACGCCAAACAACGCGCTCACTCTGGCTTCGAGTGGGAGGTCATACACTAGTGGTGACCATGACCAGCACTGAGCGCGGAAACGTCGGTGCCGATTTTGGTCACCGCTCATCTTGGTCATCGTCATTGTGTGAGCCCGCCTCGCGAATCGACGACGGCCTGCGTGGACCATGACCAAAATCGGCGTCGACTAAATCTCGCGTCATCTTGGTAATGGTTTTTGTGTTCGGTCTTCACCAGGGCAGAGCCGTGCACTACGCATCCGAGGTTCGGGCGGACGGACGAAGGCTCGGCGGGCGGGGGGGAACGGGGCGGCCACATGTGAGTTTTGCCGTGGCAGGCCAGACTTCTGAAAGACTGGCTGGGGCTCCCGAGTTTGAAAGGTGCTTGCAGCTCGGCGAGTCCCAGCGTGGGTGTCCGAGACACCCGCGTCGACGGGGCCCGTGGTTACAGAGAGAGCGGGGGGGGACGCTGCATCAATACCCCCACAGCGGCCCTGCGGCCCTGGTCGGGCCCATCCCGGGCAGTGCCCGAGCACGGGCGGGCCGAGGCGCGCGCAATTCGCCCGGGAGCTCGGTGTCGACCTTCGGCACCCGCATGCCCTGCGCGCGCCAAGAGTCGTGCCTTTCCGCCTCGTCCTGCTGTTGCTGCTGCTGCTGCCCCGCTTGCTGCACCTGCTTCTCCTGCCTTCTGCTATTCATCGTTCTTCGATCCTCCTGGCCTTGCTCCTTCTTTTGTTTCTCTTCCCTCCTCCTTCTACGTTGCCTCATATTCTGTCCTTCTCCTCCATCTCCCTCTTCCCTCTCCCTCCTAATCCTCCTCGCCCGCGTACTCGAATCCAACCACCCGGCTTCCAGACTCTGCTGTTTCACGCTCTGGCGGCTGCAATCGGAGGTGGAAGGGGTGAAATGGCAGTGGAACGGAGAGCCCCCCCCTTGGGCAATCGGTTTCGGATTCGTGTTCGGGTCGTGTGTGCGGGCAAGGCGAAGCTGCGTGGACGCGCGAAAACAATGATGCCGCCGTGGCTAGGGGTTGTGGAGCCGATTGTCCGCCCCTCCCCCCGGGCGCGCGGTGGCCAAAGATGTCCCGTCGGTGTCCCGTCGGTGTCCCGTCGGTGGCGCGACGGTGTCCCGTCGGTGGCGCGGGGTGTCCCGTCGGTGGCGCGGGGGGTCCAATCGGTGGCGCGGCGGTGACACCGATAGTGAGATCGATCGTGAGATTGTTTTGCGAAATCGAAAGTGGAATCCGTTGTGAGATCGATCGTGAGATGTTGTGATATCGATCGCTAATGAAATATATCGTGCAAGCGACAGTGACATCGATATTGCGCTCGATTGTAAAATCGAATATGAAATCGATTATGAAACCGATCGTGAGGTCGATGGCGAAATCGTATGTGGGACCGATAGTGAGAACTGTTGTGGGGTCGATCTTGAATCCAATTGTGAGATCGATCGTGAGTTCGATTGCCAGATCGATCGTGGGATCGACTGTGAGATCGATAGTGGGATCTGCTGTGAGATCCATGGTGCGATCGGCATTGAGATCGATAATGGGATCGATCGTGAGGCCGATCGTGAAGTATGTTGTGGGGTCGGTCGTGAAATCCATCGTGAGATGTTGCGAGACCGACCGTGATATCGCTCGCGCGATCTATAGTGCGACCAGTATTGAGATCGGTTCGGAGATCGATTGTGAGATCGACTGTGACATCGATTGTGATACCGAAGCTGAGATCGATGGTGAGATCGATTGCGCCGTACATTGTAAGATCGATCGTGGGAACGGTTGTGGGATCGATCGCGGGTCCGAATGTGAGATCGATTGTCAGCTCTATTGTGAAGTCGATTGGGCGGTCGATAACAAAATATGTTGTGATAAAAATTGCGAGGTCGCTTGTGAGATCGATAGTGAGTTCGGTTGTCGAATCCATCGTGAGATCGGTTCTGAAACTGACAGTGAGAGGCGTTGTGAGATCGACAGAGGGATCGCATGCGACACCGATCGTGAGCGAGATCGAAAGTTTGATCGATGAAACGTTGGTCCCCCCCTCCCTCCGAACCTCCAGATAAGGGATGCACGCGGGCACCTAACGCGAGAGGAGGAGGAAGGAGGCAACAGAAGGGGAGAAAGAGAGAAAGAGAGAATGAGAGAGAGAGAGAGAGAAAGAAAGAAAGAAAGAAAGAGAGAAAGAGAGAGAGAGAGGGAGCGCTCTTTCGGCAAAGCGGCGAGGCGCGCCGAGCTCCTTGCGTCCGCGCCCGCGCGTGCGCCTTGCTCGCGCAGACGCGCGGGCGCGTTCTGGCACTCTCGCGGCCGCCCAGCATAGGGGGCGACCGCAAGTGTCGAAGGGGCGTCGGCGGGGTGGGTGGGCACATGATCTTGTGCCACTTGGCTGCAGAGACCAATCTGCCCAAAACGCTTCCTTGCTGCATGTAAACTGCACGTGTACCTCTAAATCGGACTATACATGTTAAGTGAGGCGCGCGTGCTTTTAACGAGAGGACGAGGAGGAGGAGGAGGAGGAGGAGGAGGAGGAGGAGGGCAGCGCTCAGTGCGGCCACTCGCCCAGGGTCGTCTGGCTGGGCCTTCGCGCGGGGTATAGCCGCCTCGCCGGATCCTCCAGCAGGCCAGCCGCTTGGCGCGGCCGCGGGTGGGGCGGTGACCACAATGGGCTCGGGCGATGGCCCTCGCCCCTTGCCTCCCGCGGGCGCAGGTTTGGCGGGCGGCGACCGCCCCTTGCCAAGCCCCCCACCGCCCACGGGATACAAGCTCGGCCCGGGCTTGGGTGGTGGCGCCGGCGCAAGCGGACTCCGGTCCTCTGCGTGGCCAAAAGTCCACCTCCCCATCGCCCGTTGGGTCGAAAGCGTAACACTAGCCGCCAAGATCACTGCGAGCACCCCGAGAAAACCCACCGCCATGGCGCCGCAGCCCGCACTGCCGCCCCGGAGGAGGGGCCCAGGGCAGGGAGGCCAGAGTCCCTGGACTACTGGCCGTTGCGGTTTTGGCCGCCCTGCGGCCCCCGGGGACACCTGATCTTGAGCCACTTGGCTACAGAGGCCAAAATACCCAAAGCGCCCCCTTGCTGCACTTATTCTGCAGTCTACGTTGAAATCAGACTGTACAATATCACCCGAAGGGTGGTCGTATAGGCATCCAAAGTTGTTCCAGAAAGGGAGCATGGGCTTGGCACAAATAAACTGGGAAAGGGTTTCGTCGGATGCTGTGGGGATTGTCTCGGGAGTCGTTCGAAGCCCTTGCACGCCTGATGGACCATCGGGGGTGGCAATTATCGCAGGTCCATGCCTACCTGCCCCCCGCCGCGAGGGGGCAGCCGAGAGTCACCCATAAGGCCCCAGCGTGGCCTCCGGACAATCCCGGAGAGACCTCCCACGAGGCCTCACACCCGCGACCCAAGCACGGTGGCGGGACGAGAATGCAGCCATGGCGTGGCCTGGGCAACCGCTCTCGCTCTGGGCGTGCGCCTGGCGCCCTCTGCCCCCCCCCCCCTCCCGCTGGAACGTGTGGCCTGCGGCAGCCGCGACTCGTCCATGTTGTAGCCGACCCAGGAGGTGAGGATGCCCGCCAAGGTGCCTCCACACCGCGCTCCTCGTCCTCCTCCCTCGGGCATCGAAGGCCAAACATCGAAGTGCAGGGTCGACGGCAATCGACGGCAATCGAGGTTTCGGAACATTCCACCAGCCCTCTGGGCGCAACTGTTCCAGCCTCCCGTTTTCCCTTTCGGGAAGTATTTAGCACTGTTTCAAAATGATCGCCGCACCCTCGCCCACTCGACTGGCCGCCAACCAGGACCAGGAGCCAACCTCCCCACCAATCCTGAAAAAATTATCCTGGCGAAGGACCCAACCATGTGCAGCTGTACCGCTCTCGATGAACCCCCTTTATGGGGCCACGATCCTCGTGAAAGCTGTACCGAAATGGGCGGGGGGACGCATGCAAACCCTGCCGCTGGGGCCTTCGGTGGAGCTCCCTATGGGGCCACGGTCCTCGTGAGGGGTGTGCCGGAATGGGGCGGGGCCGCCATGCGAACCTTTCCACTGGCGCCTTCGGTGGAGCTCCTATGGGGCCACGATCCTCGTGAGGGGTGTGCAGACATGCGGCGGGGCCGTCCCTGCCACTAGCGCCTTCGGTGGAACTCCCTATGGGGCCATGATCCCGGTGAGGGGTGTGCTGAAATGGGGCTGGAGGCCGCCATGCGAACCCTGCCACTGGCGCCTTCGGTGGAGCGCCATATGGGGCCACGATCCTCGTGAGGGGTGTGCCGAAATGGCCCGAGGCCGCCATGCGAACCCTGCCACTCGCGCCTTCGGTGGAGCTCCCTACGGAGCCTCGAAACGTAGGAGGGGTGTGCTGAAATGGGTGTGGCTGGCGTATGTGGGCGGTGCCACTGGGGCCCTCGGTGGAGCTCCTTATGGGGCCACGACGCGCGTGAGGGGTGTGCCGAGAGGAGAACCACGAAACGCTGTACTGGGTGAGCGAAGCGCAGGGAGGAAGGAGGAGGGAGGAGGGAGGAGGGGCAGGAGGAGTTAGGAAGGAGGCGGGAGGAGAACGCGGGGACCGTCTCTTCAAAACGAGGGCCCAGCACCACAGGATGGTTGGGAATGAGCCTTGCGAAGGACCCAATCATATGCAGTTGTGAATGCCGTCGTTGTAAGTATCGCCTTCTGTGGATCTCCTGATGGGGCCACGAAGCGCGTGAAGAGTGTGCCGAGAACTTGGGCAGGGCGCAGCTCCCTATGAACCTACGAAACGTGTGAGGGGTGTGCCAAAATGGGGCGGCGCAGCCATGCGGACTGCGCCACTGGGACCTGAGGTGGAACTCCCGATGAGGCCACGAAACGTGTGAGGGGTGTGCCATAGTGGGGCGGCGCCGCCATGCGGACTGGGATCTTAGGTGAAGCTCCCTTTGGGGCCACGAAACGTGCGAGGGGTGTGCCTACATGTGGCGGCGCCGCCATGCGGACTGCAGCACTGGGTTCTGATGTGGAGCTCCCTATATGGGGCCACGAAACGTGCGGTGGGCGTACCAAAAAAGGGCGGCGCCGCCATGCGGACTGCGCCACTGGGACCTGAGGCGGAGCTCCCTATGGGGCCACGGAACGTGTGAGGGGTGTGCCCAAATGGGGCGGCGTTGCAAGGCGGACTGCGCCACTGGGACCTCAGGTGGAGCTCCCTACATGGGGCCACGAAACGTGTGAGGGGTATGCGAAAATGGGGCGGCGCCGCCATGCGGATTGCGCCACTGGGACCTGAGGTGGAGCTCCCTATGGGGCCACGCAACGTGTGAGGGGGGGGGGGGGGGGGCAAAATCGGGCGGCGCCGTCATGCGGACTGCGCCACTGGGACCTGATGTGGAGCTCACTACGTGGGGCCACGAAACGTGCGAGGGGCGTACCAAAATAGGGCGGCGCCGCCATGCGGACTGCGCCACTGGGACCTGAGGCGGAGCTCCCTATATGGGGCCACGCAACGTGCGAGGGGTGTGCCAAAGTAGGGCGGCGCCGCCATGCGGACTGCGCCACTGGGACCTTAGGTGGAGCTCCCTACATGGGGCCACGAAACGTGTGTGGTGCGACGAATGATGATAATGATGATGCTGCTGATGATGATGATGCTGCTGATGATGCTGACGATGCTGACGATGCTGATGGTGCTGCTGATGATGATGCTGATGCTGATGCTGACGATGTTGATGATGCTGATGATGCTGATGATGCTGATGATGTTGATGATGGTGATGATAATGATAATGATGATGATAATGATAATGATAATGATGATGATGATGATGATGATGATGATGATGATGATGATGATGATGATGATGATGATGATGATGATGATGATGATAATGATGATGATGATGATGATGATGATGATGATGATGATGATGATGATGATGATGATAATAATGATGATGAGAGGAGGGAGGGAGGAGGGGGAGGAGGAGAGGAGGGACGCGCGGCGCTGTCTCTTCAAACGACGACCGAACACCACAGGATGGTTGGGAAGAAATGAACGCGGCGGCAAAGTCTTGATCGTGAGCGGCCCCCCCGAGATCCATCTGGATTGGTTTCTGACTGGGACGCCGGAGGTGTGAGCATATTTGTCTGCTGTGCGCTCGCCAACTGTCCGTCCAGTATCAAATCAAATGCGCACTGGTTGTGGGTGCACACGCCGCACACCATGCTGACTACCCCATCGCCACTTTGCACTGGCTCTTTGGACAAGGATGGTGGGGGGGGAGGACATGTTGCCCGATGTGTGCTGTTTTGACACATTGTCCGATGTGTGCTGACACGTGCCTCGTGGCACCTGTCGCCGCCTGGCGCACTCTGCGCGCGCCTCGAGTGCCCGGTACGCTTGGGCGTCTTGGTCATCGCGGTTGCCGTCCATCCGATGGCGCCTTCTGCCTACGCTGAGGCCCTGGTGCTCGTATACTAGAACCACGCACACGCGCTTCGCGCGCGCTTTGGGTCTAGCGCAACACAGGCCAACGTCTCGACACGATCGGAGCGTATCGCCATGTCTGTCTTGCCAGTGCTTCGACCCGTTGCAGGTATTATGCGCGTTCCTGTTACTCGCCCTCGCCAACCTCTGCTCCGTCTCCTCTCCGCTCTACGTCCTCCTCCCTCTGGTTCCTCCCTTCCGCCAGCTGTCCCTCCCCTCTCGCTCTTCTCTCCTGCGCCCAGGATCCTTTCAGCTCTCACTCTCTCTCTCCCTCCCTCTCTCGCTGACCCTCCTCCGTCCACCCGCTTGGAGGAGGAAGGATAGAGGAAAGTGGAGTGAGGAGAACGAGCGCACACAGCACCAACTCGTAGGCCGCCTCCTCCCCATTTCTTTCCTCCTCATGTTCCTGCTCCTCCTGCTCCTCCTCCTCCTCCTCCTCCTCCTCGTTCTCATCCTCGTTCTCCTCCTCGTGATCCTCCTCGTTATCCTCCTCCTCCGCCTCCGCCCCCTCCTCCTTCAAGCGCGCCACGTGCCGACGCCGCTCGAAACTGGTTAAGGGGCTAAGCTCAGGGGACGCACGGTGCGCCACGAAGAGCTCGCGGAACTCAAAGAGCACCCCTGAGTAGCCCACTAACCACTGAACGGCATGGCGGCAGTGGCGGTGTATCTTCGCATGCGGTTGCGACCCCTCTCCCCCTAAGGGCTCGATCCCTCAAGGGCAGAAAGGGGATGTAGTCCGAGCGAGGGCTGGGGCGAATTTCATTCCCCAACCACGCCAGAAAAGGGGGCTCGAGAAGGGTTGGGGTCAGAACGTGGGTTGGGGCGAATGCGATCCCCCAGCCACTCCAAGGGGGTGGAGAAGAGTTGGAATCCGAGCGTGGGCTGGAGCGAATGTCATTTCCCAGCCACGCCAAGAAAAAAACATCATATGGGTTGGCGTCCCAACGTGGGCCTGGGCGAATGTCGTTCCCCAGCCACGCCAGTGGGGTAGAAAAAGGTTCGGAGATCATATGCACCACGACGCGTAAAACAATTTCAGGGGGCAAAGGGGCCACGCCGAGACCAGGATAGGGGAGTTTGTAAGGGGCCAGGCGGGCAGGGTTACCTTGAGGCTACTTGTTTCATTGTTCAATGCACAGGTGTAAGGCGTACTTCCATAACATAAGCAAGTGAACTTCGCCAGTCGATGGGGAGACCCACGCCTTGGGGGTGATGGTTGTGGGGGACCCTATGGGAAATACTTCCAATTGAGGTATCTCGGTACTAGGGCATGCACCGATCGTACTTCAGTCGTGGGAAAGGTCCCGCGCCGTGGGGGGGTCTGGTTGTGGAGGGGCATATGGGAAGGGCTGCGCTCCCCTGGAGCAAGAGGTGACCGCTAAATCAAAGGCCCAACCACCACAAGAAGTGCAACCGCTGACCACCCCCCACCCCTCAGGATGGGCGAAACGCAGGCCCCACCTGGGTGGTCACCCCGGAGGGTCAATAACTACGATCGAAGAGTGTCGCTCGTGTGTACGAGGGTGCCCCAAGCACGTGGTGGCTGCTCAATCAATTACTCCGACGGGAAGACTCCGCATGGAAATCCTTTCGGCGAACCTGGAAATAAAATTCGCTGTCGTCCTCGCGGTTAGTGAGGCGCCCTTCTTGTCTTCTCTGCGTCATTATCATTCTCGCCCTGGCGCAGGGCCCTCACCCGCTCCCCGCGTTGCCCTTGCCTCGCCCTCCTGCTGTTTGTTTCGTCACCCACCACCCCTCTCCTGTCTATTGCAAAAACGCGCGCGTCGATGTTCCTCGACACCGTCGCCGCCTCGGCCAGCGCTGGCGCATTCTCGAATGGCAGCGTCGCGTGGCCGTTGGGACAACCCCGCGGGCCAGGCCGTTGGGGCAACCGCGCGAGCCGCTGCGGCGCGGGAGCAATCCGTGTGGACAACCCCGCAGGCACCGAGCTAGTCACAGTCGCGCTCAAGGGGTTACCATCCGCGGCCCGGACGCAAAGGTTTCCCCCTGCGCCCGGCCGCCGTCGTCGTCCTCCATCCTCTTCCTCCTCTTCCTCCTCACCTGATGGGTCGGGCGAATCGCCCTCTGAAGAGCGCATAGGGACAGGGCTCCCGCCTGAGATT